CATTCAGGAACCAAGAATAAAAAATAAATAGCTTTTTTGCATCTTGATGACCGTGCTTTTTTTTTTTAGTTTATCCAATGGGTTTTGCAAGGATTTTTAAAGAGGTTAGAGACCTTTCTCAACCCATAATAGAGGCATTGCAAACTTCAGTTGACGTGAAAATTACCAGAAAAAAAACCCAAGATGACAAGCCAGAAACAAGCGAGCATGGAAAGCTCCAATCAACCATCAACTCATATTTGCTTGTGATCTGCCACAGTCAAAGCCACATTGTTTGTACTTGGATTACTTTGTCTTTGTACCTCACCTAACACAAAACCAGTGAGATGTCATCCCTATAAAGCAAGTTACTCACTCATCTGTCACAAAATAATGATTCATACCACTTGAAATGCTTGAATCCCTGAAAGTATTCGAGTTATAAAAATGGAATTATTCTTTCCACTCAAAAGCCTTTGAACAGCTTTGTGATAGTACAACTAAGTATACAAAATCCATAAACCGGCACCAAGGAACAACAACACTATTTAACTGTCAGGGCAGAAATACCTCCTGCAGAGATGTTCGTGAAACTAACTAACAAATTCCACCCCCCCTCCCTCTACTCACCCTGCTCCCACAGAGGAACCATGCCCTGTTTGTCTAAGCTCACCACATCTTCCCTGCAACAAAGTCAACAAACATGCATGGGCACATACTTGTCTAAAATAGAGGATAGTTCTTATCCCTGAACAATGGCAAAGGTTTTTGGATCCACCCATGTGTAAGGATTAAGACAAGCTGTTAACAGTTTGGACTTTGTGTAAATCAATGAAAGCAGCTTTACACGGGATGGTATGAAGGGACACGATCATGTACTATAAGACATCGTAGTCATATATTTGGCCTTGGTGAAGAGGAGATCAGCAGACACTGGACGCTTGGGAAAGCACTGCTGCTAGCTGTTGCGAGCTGTGAAGAACAGAGGCGCGCTGAGGTCATGAGTAAACACACAGGCTCGTCCAGAGCTCTGAAGAGGGGAGAGCGGGGGGGGGACTGGAAACACATCTGCTCTGCCTTTGATCCAAACTTCTGCGGCCCAGCACGCCACTCACCTCAGCTGCCCACTCTGTGTCTGACTAGAAAACAACGGCCACAATCCTAAACACTAGCTCTTCCTTCCCATGCTGCCCTCCTCACTGTTGGTGCTGACTCACAATAGGAGCGATTTTTTTTATGAGGGACTTGAATCTTCAAATGTCAAGGGAAAAAAATAACATTGTCTAAGAGATGCCTTTTGTTTGTTTCCCACGGTCTCATGCAAACGTTTCGATGGCCCTACCTTTGCAGGGCAACAGTCAGTTCTAGGTTTCTAGGTTGTAACAGGCAGAGTACACCAGGTAACAGGTATATCAGATATTCGTCTCTCAATAGATCAGTTATCAGACAGTTAATGTCATCCTCACATATGTGGCAGATTAATTTTACTCAGCCACTTAAGACATGACATTCATGACATTAAAGGTGTCAGTATGCTCAAACCTAAGCACTCATCCATTTGTTTCCAATGACAAAATCAGGGATTGAATCCAACAATTTCTGTAATTTCTGAAAACTTCAGTGTGTGGAGGTAAGAAACTAAACTTATTTTTTAATTGTTTACACACTATTTATTCTTTATTCTTATTCACTTTTCGTGTGTACAACCTAGTGTAACATAATGAATGCCTTGAAAAAACTGATAGAACCATGCCAGGCTTTTTACCCTGATTTTGAGTGTGGCCATTTGGCACAGCTGTAAACACTTTTGCCTTTTGACCTGGTTGGACGGCATATTACACAAAATGGTTTGTTTCGAGCACTATTTCGAGCTTTAGTCGTATGCCAGCATACCGGTGTATAGCCAAAACAACTGCTGTAACTGCTGTTTCATACTAATGCAATAGAATATTTGAGAAATATCTATTTTAACACTTAAATACTTTGAGTATTTTATGTCAGTTTATAGTATTTATAGATTTTTATTTATATTATATAAAATAAAACAATATTTTCTTTTGAAACAGAAGCAGTTCTGTTTCTTTAAAGGCAAGTAAAGTTTTTAGCATATCTTTTTTATTTTTAAGTTCTGTTGCAGTTTGCACAATAAAAATTGTTTACATTCTGACTTCTTTATATAATTATATAATAATTTTGAGGGGCCTATGACATGATGACATTAAAATGTTTTTATATTCCCTGTACTCCTGACAGTAGAATAAGCCACTATAAACCTATATAAAGTCTTAGTCATGCAAAAAAAAAAAATACATAAGTACCGTGAAACTGCTAAATCTTTGGTTATACTGCCCAGGCACTAGGTGTAAATGAGTTACCAAGTTCCATATTCACTGGCTTATTTGCTGCTAGATACTCCAATACGTTGACCAGCTAGTCACTAAATGAGTCTGCTGTTGGTGTGGGGCAGGTAGTGTACAGTGGGTTTGTTGGACATGCTGATGAGAGCTGTGAGACTGAACCAAAACAGGGAAGCTGTGGCTGGAAAACCAAAACAACGTGCTGAAAGACACTTCATAGACCAACACTTTAAGGGAAACTGTAGAGTTGGCTGACAATTCTCGGTGGGTTTGTCACTATGAGCAATGCCTTTCACATCACACATAGTCATTTAATATATTGTTGATTATCACAAAGATCATTACAACAATTTTAATTTAATGTTTGTGTTAGCAATAAGAGTTTTATTGTCCCTTGATGGTCCACAATGCTGTTTCAATAAGATGTGGTAAATCGGCACTAAACATCTACAAACCATAGCCTAACCAGTACCAAAAATCAACAATAACTGGTATCCTAGCTCCTTCTACACTACTGGAAATGACTAAATCTCACCATCTCCTCTTCTAACTGAACCACAGCTGAAAATATGACTAATAAAAGCACACAGTATACAGGGGACATACAGCATGATCGAGTGTGGGAGAGAGATGTTGGCTTTCACAGGACAAAAGGCCAACCATGATGTCACCTTAGTTCCCTCACAACATAACCCCCTGACCTTGTGAGAAGTGCTAATTTGATGAGTCTACATTTCCACTGCGGTTAAGGATTTCTGTTCAAGAAGTCACACAAACTGAATCCTAACAACAAAACCGAAACCTCCCTAAATACAGGGAAACGTGGCATGTTTTTGGGACTAGCCGGGTAGTGCTGTCAAGAGTTGTGGGATAAAAGACCCCTTCATAAACATATGAGCAACTTTGACATAGAACTCTAAAGACCCCATTATTTTTAGACAGCAACATTATTATGCCTTACCTCAGTTGTGACTCACGGCATAAACTTTTTCATTTCGATTTTCGACTTTTCTTGGCAACATTTTCTCAAAAAGACTCCGTTTCTGACAAATTAGAACAGAGCGAGGGAGGTAAACAAATAATTGTTTTTGTCATGTGAAAAACTTTAGCCTTGCTGTCTGGTATCTTTCCCTTACAAACCACGCTCGAGGTTGGGCTAGTGAGAGCTGCACCACAAGACTCCCACCCTCCAATTCCCTCTGCTTGTACTGTATGAGCCCAGAGAACCACATCCTGAGGAGAGGAACGCAATCGACAGCAATGCCTCCTTGAACTGGAAAATTGGTTACACAATCTGAACTTTTCACTGACGACTGTGTTGCTCCACTAAAAATATTACAATCACTGCTTTCATTGGAAGCCAAACTGTGGAGAGTGCAGAGACGATTCAAAGGGAAACAATAGCAAAAACCCCATAGAAAAACAGCAGGCCACTGATCATGGGATGTGATGGGAGAGATGTCTGTCCTTGATGTGAGTGCCAAGGTGAGAGGCTCCACCACCATTTCCCAGAATACTCTGGGGAGTTTGGGATCAAATGAGCACTGACCAAAGGATAGTTGTCTGTAATATGAATGGACAAAAAAGAACTACAGTAGTAGGTCTTATGACATGGGGAAGAGTACAACATAATATACCCAGCATGGACTCTTACAGGGGAATACCCACTAAACACTACTTTATCTGAGTCCAATCAATCAAGGGACATGATATTTAACTGCAGACAATGACATTAATTCAATTCTCCCTCGAAAAAGCCAAACAATGTAAGAGTAACAGAATGACAAAGAGTGTTGTTTAGTTCCCTTAAACCATTAATGTCATGCTGTATAATAGAGAATATAATATACTAAGTGTATACTAAGTGTTAGACAACATTTTCTGTCAGTATCAACATTGACTGCAGCGCCATAGTGAGCTTGGATAATAATAATAATACATATCTTCAGTGGGAAAAAATTCTAGAAGTATCTAGACTTTCTCAAGAGCTAAAATATACAAAATTAGTTTTGGCTATATTTTTGACTACTCATTAAGGCTGAGGTTTACAAAAATGCAATATTTGGGTTTGATAAAAAAAGAACTGACAGCTGAGGTGAATTGGCAGAATGTGGGAGCAGAAACCTTTTGAAGAAGAGGTGACTGAGCAGCTTTGGACCCCACCTCACTCCACCCAACCCCCTGCCATCCTCTCTTTCCCCCTTCACTTGGTCGCTGAAAATCCCTGGCAGGTTCCCTCGCATAAAGAGGGATCAGCTGCATATATACATAAAGTGAGAGCACAATTTGGCAACACATCCCTATAATAACACACAGACCCATGCAGGACTTTTTGCCAGGCGACTGGAAGAGGAAATAGAGGAGTATAAACAGCACTCACCGCGGGCAGGCTCGGGTTTCCATGGTGTGCTGAGGCATCCTCTGGACAGCTCACACACACAACATAGCGTTCAGGAAACACACGCAAATCTGGAGGCAGGGAAAGAAACAACACAGACCATGCTAGTTAATAACGTGGGCTCACCTCTAATTATGAGTCAAAGTCAGACAGAGGGAATTGTGGTGGAGGTTTGAATTTACATCTACAAACACCAAGTATTTACTATCCCTCAGACCAAGGAGAAAATGGCAGTTTACAGATAATTGCTGAGCTTTATGAGCCGCGTAAGCAGCATGAAATATTAGAACATTTTATGTTAACAATGGCTCCTGGGAGTAATATGACTGTTTCATCAGCTTCAAAGGCAAAGACCATTTATAAAAACAATACTATTACATGTATTATATCATGACAATAAATCCAACAGGCATCAACATATCACCTCAACTGGACAAGTTGGCCTGTTACATAGACTCCTGTATGTAAAGAACTTGTCCAATATTTGAACTCATGAAGGTGCACATAATAAAAATTACTCATACACTAGGAAATACTAATGAATAAGTTACTGAACAGTGGCGTTGGCAAAACATTACAATAGTCTTCATCTTGCAGTATTGATCCACGTAGCCTACCACCTCTGGTTCAAAGGTTTTACAGTAGTGTTGAATTAAGTCTGTATAAAAGCTCATATTCCTCCTTTTTAAAAACATTGGTTATGCTTCAGTTGCGTGGATTTGTGGTTTATAAACACAGCCAATGGACATGCTTTTGTTAAGCAAGCACGGAATTGGCATGTATGGCAAAGTACTTGCATTAATGTACGTATATCTTGTGTGGAGTATGTAATGAGGATGACTAAAGGATGACTATGTCTGTGGGCAGGTTTGGATGTTGATTGATTGCTCAAAAACTACTTGCTAGATTACCATGAAATTTGCTCTTGAAATTCTTGGCCTTTAAAGATAAATTCTCAGGCTACAACCAGGCCAAAACTTTCATTTGTACACTTAAAGAGACATAAAAATCTAACATGAAGGTTGCAATGAAATTACCTGGACAAATTCATGCTTTCCAGAGTATGACCACTTTGGATTTTGGACACTCCACAAGCTTTACTTTTGAGCCACCCCAGCCAAGTCAAAATTGAGGGTTTAAACAAATTATATCTCATAATTTAACAGAGAGGGATTACCATGAAATTTGCTGAGAACATTTATCCACCGCATGCAATAAACCCCTTAACTTTAATGACCTCGTGGTTCAGGACAGCTCAGGACAAACTTTACAGTTTTCTACCCAATGATAAGAACCAGAATAGAAAACAATGTTGTTTATTCCTTTCAGTTTTGGGTTGTGGGGTAAAATCTAAATTAGAAAATACCACTGCATTATGATTGACTAATTATACTAACAAGTCTCAATTACGGCCTCACTTTGATCTTACTAATAAAAGCTAAAACTTGCCATTTTGCGGTGTATAACTAGCCAATCAGAATAAAGACTTTTAACCATCTGTTTTATAGATAATTGAAATTTTTACATGACCTAACCAGTATTTACAGATAACTCAGTGGACCGAATTATACAACCTCTGACCCCAGCAGACTGGGTCTAATTTGATGTGTAACGGACCTGTTGAGAGAAGCCGTCATTTCGGTCTGCAGCAGGTCAGTGCTGCCTTAACATCCGAGCCCCTAGGGAGCAGATATTAACTTTACTGACAGGAAGAGAGCCATGTTGGTCCCATGAAAAGGTGGCCAAGGGTCACAGGCACTAGATGGGCCATGGAGATAGATTCTCACTGCCCTCCATAGACAGCTCTCCAACCTTTCTCTCTCCCACTCTCAGTAGCCTCTCAAGGGAACCACTTAATGGCTGCCTGTTCTCAACAACACCCAGAGCAGGTAGGGACAGGACATAAAAACAAGTGAGGGGGAGAAAAATCAACATGCAGACCACAGATGACTTGCTCCTTCTGTGGGAAATTTGTCTGAGTATGAGTTATGGAGATGTCTATTTCCGATTCATTTAACTGGGAATTGATTCAGTGAATGTAGGTTACATACCTCCGTAGAGCTTCTTGGCAATACATCTGAGGTTGACATGACGCTTTAGAAAATTGGCAACTAGGCTGAAGGTCTTCCCTAAAAAAAAAAAAAACAGAAAAACATTTAAGATTAAAAAAGAGCAGAAAGACATATAGGCAAAATGATTGTACATCTGACCCCATTTCCAGGCCTCTAGTGCCACTAGTGGGCAACTTTTGGATGGAGCTTTCTGGATGATGTGTGCTAGCATTGTTGACATTCCCTGAAATACTCATAACCTTTATTCAATTTAACGTCACAAAACAACCACTGTTGGCAATCAAATCATATTTCTGGCATGCAAATGTTATTCAGACAGTGAGATAAAGTGGTTAATCTAAGCACAAACTTTTTTGATCCAATATATAAAGCCCTTTATAAGATAAGTGGCCCTACTTCCATGACACTGCAGACGCAGGCTAGGCTCCTGAATACAGGACTACAAATCAAACTTGTGAGAATACAGCAGCTCTACTCCCTTAACACACAAAACAATGTCCATTCTTATACATTACTCTACTGTTAAGCTCTCTATGGCTCTATATTCTTAGATACCATCAATTTCCGAACCTTAATCATATACTCTGTCTAAAGGGCCAGCCAACTCATTCATGGAATGAGAAACTATTCGGTTTTAATTTAACTGGCCTCCCAGTTTGGCGGGAGTAGAGAAACCATGGCTCGGGCCTCAGCTCTATTTTTCATGGAATGTTTGTCATGGTATGTAAGATGTGCTGGGCAGAAACAGTGGCCTGTTGCCTAATCTAGTAGGAATTTGTTGATTTAAAGCAAGGCTCTGGCTAACACGCTACCCAGTTGTTCTTTGTAAACAGGACAACAGTGCTGGGAAGTTGACAGAGCCTTTTGGTACTGTCTTGGTGCCCTTGTCCTCTTCTTGATACCATGACAGTAAAACTATACCCGACTTGACTTTACCACCACCTCTCTATTGGTGTTCTCATATTGCTGTTGCCGTGTGAAAACCTCATTAACTGCTAACTGTGGGGATTTTCGTATTTTAACTTCAATTAAAGGATTACATCCTGACCTCTTGCACTCAAGGCTCTTCCAGTACTCACTGGATAATGTCAAATATGCATTGTCATCAAGCTAAAAACGAGGCTGTCTTTATCTAGGAAAAGCTGACATTTGGAAGTACAGAGCTTTTCACCCGTCGGCAACAACACTGACAGTCATTCATCATTAAAACTTGCGAAAGTCTCCCACGAAAAGTTGACCTACACCTAGGAAGAAAATGTTGTGTTATCATGAACATACAACACACAGAGCAGACAGCATGTTAACAGCATTGGCCCACACACAAGTAGGAGGGGGCCTTCGTGAACATCCCCCTTTCTCTGTTAGGTGATGTCATCTCAGCAACAACTCAAACCATCTAATTATCGTCTTCAAAAAGAAGCACTCTTGTGATTCTCTGGATAATGACATGCAATTACGGAGATAGTTTGCCACAAAACTGCCACAGGTAAACGCTTTGGTCCACTTGCAGTGATTAATGGCACCACCTCTGCTTTCTTTTTCTCTGTGCTTGTGACAGAGTTGGCGACCAGAGTCACTACATCAGTTCAAAAATATACAAAACATATCCGTAAATCAATCAAATCAATCAAATCTCTTTCAAACAAAACAAGCTCAACCTGTCAGCCAAGAATAAATCCTTACAATTTAAAAGTTACAAATGAAACTAAAGTGAGAAATCACCAGGTTATTAAGGCTTTTAAAATATGGATACTTGTTTGTTACTATGGTAACAAGCAATTACAATCAATATTTTTCTGAAGATAACAGGGTAAAATTGTTACCTACGTGACAGGCTAAAACACAGTTTACCATCTATGGGGAACTCCAAAAGCTCTTAAGCAGAAGTTTAGCCTACAGCAAAATGAACATGTTAGATCATCGTTAAACAGCTTAGTCAAGATTTGAGAAAATATATTAAAATCTCCCAGACAGAGCAAAAACGAATCTCTAATCTGTGTAATACAAAGGAGATTTATCAAGAATAAACATTCATTTTGTGTTAGAACTGTCATCAAATGCTTGTTTGTGCACTTACTCTGCATCAGTTTGTGTGAGTTGATACGATTATCGTATAGAGCCTTATTTACATTTTAGTTTCAGAATGAAGTTATTTGTGTTCCCAAATTCCAGAATATTAACAATAAGTAAATCTATATTTAATGCTATGATTTATTGTTGTGGTATTTCCCAAGATACTTCAGGGTAGTTAATTCTCATATGAAAGAAGCTCATCTTACCACCTTTTCTTCAGTCAGTGGTTAACTCATTACTTATCATTCTAGTCATCTAATCAGGGACTGACACCAACTCACAGCATTTGTGTAGCTCTGGGGATATAAAACCGGTTGGGTTCCAGGAGCTTGAGATTGGGAATCCCTGTCCTGCAGCATGGTGGCCAATAGATGGGCCAGATAACAGCTTTAGGTAAATGAAAAATAGGGATTTATAGGGATAATTTTACATCTTGTTTTGTCAACCAAGGGCTCAGGTAACTCTATAATACAACCCAGTCTGTAAGTATGACAATGACCAATTTTGTACTGTATTGGATCTTTACCACATCACATTAGATTTGCAAAACAAAAAAAAAGGCTTTAATTTGAGAGTTAAAGTCCATGTTTAATTCACAATGTAGTATTGGTAAACTGTTTTATCCATAATGCAATTAAATAAATAGACATAAACTTACAAGTAAAATGTTCACATCAGCTTGGCAACTTCCCTATTGGTGCTCTTCCAGGCCTCTAATGAAGCCATGGGTAGTTTTTGGTTTCTTCGGGGGCTTTTGGGGCTTAAGTCTAATCTTCAACAAGTGAAACACGTGTTGGATTGAGGTCAGGTGATTGACATGGCCACTCACAACAACAACAACGTGTCCCTGTCCAAATTCTGCATCTGCCGATAACATCTTACTCCCACTTATAAACAACTAAGCTGTCAATAATACATTTGTATGAATGCACTTTGCTTAATCTATCCATCTAAAAAATGCCATGCCATGCTCTAACTGAAACAAATATTCTACTCAAGGGAGAAATACATAGCCCACAACATGACTCACTGATGTTGTGGTCTATGTACTACTACTTCTTTCTATTTAAACTTTTTCACCCAGAACTTTCAGCAGGGTTTTTGATTGTTTATGCACCATTCAAACATTCAAAATGAAGTTTAAATAGATTACAACTTGTTGAACCAGGAGACACAAGAGTTATGAGTGTGTAAGCTATTGGAGAACCACCCTCACTGAATTGTCTTTAGAGTTAGGGGCCATGGAAGTCTGTCCCTTTAATACTTGGTGTACATAAAGTATATAAAACTTGATACGCCAACAAGCTTTAAAAAAGAGTACTTAATTAATCCCAAAGGGAAATTGCATTAACACACTGTATGGTATGTTGAGCATGTTTATAGTTCACAATAGCAGCATTCCTTTACTGGAAAAAAAATCTGATATTCTGTTATTCTTTAAATAGCAAAGCAGTGATCATCCAGGCAGGAATGCAGATCTGTATCTCTGTTTTGTTTGTTCTGCCCATTCTGGGACCAGAAGGGACCAGAAAGCAAGTATCTTTCATTGCACATTCATGTCTTTATATGTTTTTAGAAGCTTTGATTTAGTTTGTTATACTCTTTAGCCTCATGTCTAGCTCCACAACTATTCTCATTGCTTTCCCTGGTGGGTTGAGCTTGCCAATTCCCAGGACAAGTTTGACAGGGACGTCTGGACACAAAGTTGGGAACCAGTGCAACGCCATAGCCCGAGACATCAGCTGTTGCTCCAACTTTATAACGTCCTGCACAGCGCAGAGTTGCTCTTGGCCCTCTGCCCGGGTTCTCTCGTGCTAAGCTTACATTCATGTTTCTCTCTCACAAACAGTTTGCTAGTGCCTCCTTTGGGAATGAGTGGTCCCTTTCTGTGGCAACTGTGGCCCACAGTGGTGCAATACCAGAATATGAAGAGCAGAGACTTTAAAGAGTTTAATTCGTACTTCCTTTAAGAGAAGATGGTCTTGCTTAATTGTTTTGAAACCCAATGCACAACAATATTATGACAGGTCAAATCAAACAGTAAACAAGCCAGCACGCCATGTTTTCAGAAATGTGGTAGATAATATTGTAACCGCTTGTATGGAGTCTTCTACCATCTTGTAACATACCGCAGGACAACTGCAGAAAAAAGACACAGACTCCACGAGGCTTGTGCCAAGGCTACAATACTGTACTTTTGGGACACACACACACACACACATGCACACACACACATCCCTGCAGCTTTCACCGCTTCCTGGGAAAACAATGAGAGGAAAGAAAAGTCAACAAACCAAAAGGCATCCAGAGTGACTAGAACTGTAAAATGGAACAGACAGGGGTGAGAGGCATTCAGACCAGGGTTAAAGGTAAGCCCCCATGGAACAGACTTCATTAACTTCAGTCATATCCTGAGGAGATCATTAAAACAGCCATAGAAAACATGGCCCACTTCTTCGCACCATCCGCATTCCTGGCAGCCCATGCTGTTGTGACTCCTGCAGGAATCCATAAGAATTTCTGCTCTGCTATGAAGGCTTTTATGAAGTTCCTAGCAGGTCCTGGACAAGCATTCAGCTAACCACAGTGGGTCCAGGGCCTTTAACACGAATACTTCAATGAGTGTACACTCTCACCGTATTTACTCTGAGCTTTCTGCTCAGGTTACCCAATGTCTTTAACGTAATGTAAAAGCGAAACCAGGTTTCCATAATCGTAAGCAAAACCTGCAGATGTGCATGACACATTAGGAAAGTATCAGCATGGTGAAGTGGCAACCGAAGGAAGGACTGACGGAAGATGCTAACTTTTAGCTATGCAGCCTTGTTTTGAAAATAGTTCAATCCAAAGCGTGACTAAAATTAAAATGCAAATAAATAAGTTTGAATAAGGCGGTTTCCATGGATGAATGGAAGATTGTGTTAAAAATTCAGGCTCATGTGCAAAATAAGGAAAAAATTAGTGGCCTGTCAGTCAGTTAGTGC